GTGCTATCTCTCCAGCCCAGGATTTGGGTTTGTGTTGGGTGTTTTGGAGGAGGATTTAAGGAAATGGTTTCGTTGTAGGTTTACTACTATCCAGAAAGGTAGAGCTAATTTCTCTCTAGTGTGTAATGTACAAACACACAGGATTTCAATTTGGTAGGTGATTTTCATTGAGCATTCAATGATGTTTGGTTATTAGAGGTAATAATAATTACAAGGCATGATATAAAAGCCTGTCAACTTGACTAGATTGAGATGTTTAGCGAGGTGACTGAACTGTGTGACACTATACTCATGTGGGTTAATTCACGGGTATTCATAGCTAAACATGCTGTTATAGAAGTGGGATCCAGTTGGATGTGTGTCACTGGGGGTGTGCTTTTGGGGGGCATATCTGTCACTGGCAGTCTTCCTCAGTGCTCTGCTTCCCAGATGCTATGGGTTGAGCACCATATTTACAATGAGCCTTTCCACCATGCCATTTATGCCTTGCAGTCAGCCATGCATGAATTGAAACCTCTGAAGCCATAGGTCAAAAATAAACCTGGTTTCCTTAATTTGTGGATGTCTGGTATTTTGTACTAGTAACAGGAAAGCTAATCAATATACAAGGTAAGCATTTTTATTTGCTTAATGTTCATTTGTATTTCTTTTTCTTTTGGCGGAACTGGGGATTGAACTCAGGACCTTGCACTTGCCAGGCAAGCACTTATTCAACTGAACTACCTCCCTGGCCCCACATCCTTTTATTCTTAAAATTATTTAACTTAATGTGATATATGATGCTCTACTTGAAACAGATGGGACATTTTTGAGTCACTACTGGGGACTGAACTCAAGGCCTTCACATTGAGCTAGCTTGTTCTTTTTCTTGTCTTTATTTCTGGGGATTAAATCCAAGGCTTGCGCACTGCGCTAATTTCCCAGCCCTTGTTTTGGAGATAGGTTCTTGTTAAACCCATAGATTGCCCAGGATGAACTGGAATTTTCAATCCTCTTGCTTCAGCCTCCCAGTGCTGGGACTGCAGGGTATGCATTACCACACCAAGTTTTATTTTTGAGAGAAGAAATTTCTTGCTGAATTACTAAATTCAGACTGGGCTTGAATTTGTGATTCTCCTGCTTCAGCCTCCAAGAGTGCTGGGAATACAAGTGTGCACCACTATGCCTGGTTAAAGGGCATGTTTTAATAAGTAGATAGCTAGTGATAACTATAATTCAGAAGGTAATTTTTAGGGGGCAAGAAATCTATGTTTAATTATATTGTGCAAACAGCTATTAATTAGCCTTTATGAGGAATTAAGCCTATTACTGATCTAGTGGCAGAAATAAAATTGCTCTCTATATTATAATCATTTATTGATAGTGCTTGAACATGTTTTTGTGTCTTGATTTCCTCATCTATAATACAGGACTAATATCTCTTCTGGCACCTAAATGTCTGAAGAGCTTTCACTCAGTAAACATGTTTACCATGGGCTGTCTATAAAATCAGATTTTGTTAAACTAGAATTTAAAAAACATTATGAAAGCTCAAAAAAAATACAGTGAAAGCTTGTGTATGTGGTGCTAGGGATTGAGCTGAGGACCACACCAAATGGTAGGCAAGTGGTCTACCATTGAGCAATATTTCAACCTTTGTGTTGTGAAATTTAATAAATTTGCTATCTCAGAAAATGGGAGACTGGATGTGGTGGTGTTTGCCTGTGGTCCCAGCTACTCAAAGCCTGCAACTTCCGATACCATCTCAAGCTGCCTTTTAGTATTAGTACATGTTCCTAGTACATGCAGTTTACAATCATACTGATGTGGATATATGCACAAAATATAGCTTATTAAAAAAATCCTCTTCCCTCCTTTACCCTGCTCATTTTTCTTATTGATATTAATCTTGGCTTATGTTTGACGGTTACTTACAACCATTGAGGTTATTAGGTTCTTGTACACATCTTTATTCTTATTTCCCCTTCCCTCTCTCCTTTCGCCTTCAGTCTCTTGGACCCCTTTCCATTTGTCTCCTGTCCACACTATATTATACAATTTGTACTCTACTTAAATGATACTATATGGTATTTAAGCTTTTGTGTCTGATTTACTTCACTTAACCTATTTGACAGGTACATCCATTTTCAAACAAATGGTTCGAATTTGTCCTTTCTATCTTAGTATTGTTATGTATAGATGTATTACTATGTTGTCTTCGACTCTTTGCGGAAGACACCTAGAAGGAACCCTGTTTTAAAAAAAAAGGCATTGTGAAGTGTTGCAGTCATTATAAAGTACCACAGTATGTAGTATCATAAATACCGATGTGCCAAAAACCATCCAAATACTCTAAAATGTTAGCAATAGCAACGGTCAGGTCTGGTGGTGCACATCTATAATCCCAGCACTCAGGAGGCTGCAGCCAAGTTCAAAGCCAGCATGGGATAGCGTTCAAGGCCAGCCTGGACTGCAGTGAGACCACCTGAAAACCTAAAAGATGTTAGCAATTAGTCTTCTGTGCAATATAGCTTCTAAGATGCAAGCCTAATATTTACCGCATCTCCTCAAAGCTTCATCTTGAGCAGCATATAGGACTTTGTAGCTCTCATAAATGAGTTTGCAGTCTTAGTACATACATGTTTTTTCAACTTTTGGAGACAGGTTCTCCCTATGTTGCATATATTGGACTTGTGCTCTTGCTACCTCATCTGACAATTTTACCAACTTTTATACAGGTCTTGTTCTACAACTCTTAATTTTTTTTAAATGTACAGGCAGGATGAAGAGGCTCAAGTTAAAGGCTGTGTGACACTAGGAAATTAACACACTTCTCTGAGCTTTTTTTTTTTTTTTTTGCAGAACCGGGGATTGAACTCAGGCCCTTGCACTTGCCAGGGAAGTGCTTATTCCACTGAGCCATCTCCCTGGCCCCTAAAACTTTTTTTTTTTTTGCAGAACTGGGGATTGAACTCAGGCCCTTACACTTGCCAGGGAAGTGCTTATTCCACTGAGCCATCTCCCCAGCTCTTGTTCTACAACTCTCGACAACATTGAGACTGTACATTCTAACAGGGTTGGTGGGATAGCTCACTGGACTAAGCACCCGCTTAGGCAAGCACAGGGACCAGGGCTCAATCCCTGGCACAAGCTGCACTGGCCGGGGTGCCAAGCTGGCCAATGAGATCAGGTGTGGTGGTGAACATCTGTAATCCCAGCACTGAGGCTGAAAATACGATTACTATGACTTCAAGCTGCATAGTGAGACCTTATACTAAATACATTACAAAAATTGTATAAAAACGCTATTTTTACTCTTGGATTTCACTATTACTAAAATTCACTAATACTTCTATTGTACAATAAATTTCAAAGGATGAACCTTTTTTCATCATAACATCTTGCTGGTAGTTTTAAATTCCATTAGCTTTTAATTTACTTGGTTTAACAAATGGTTTCTATTGAACTATTTTCAAGGTTAAGCATGGCTAGTGATCTGAAACTGTAAGGTAGTATTTAGCTTGGGGATATAGCTCAGTGGTACAATACTTACCATAACAGCACATGTGAGGCCTTGAGTTCCATGCCAGCACTGAAAAAAGGGGTGTTTTAAGGGACTGAGAATAGCTGTTAGCAAATGCTAAAATCTGGCTTTTGTTTGATATTGACATGCTTTCACTGCATACGTCCGATGCAAACTGTTAGGAGCTTTTATTCTACTTTAAGAACCTTTTTGGGTATCTGTATTGGAGATTGAACCCAGAGCCTAGCACATTCTTGGCAAGTGCTCTATCCACTGATACACACCTGGTCCTCAATTCTGCTCATTTCCATCTTAAAGCCTTACTGGACTCCCAGTCTCAGGCCACCACCCCTTAAAACTAGGCCCTCAACTGAAACCCTATTGCCTTTACAGGGAGAATTGTTCACCTCGAATCCTATAGAACTTCAACTCATTTATGCAGACGACCACACATCTGAACTTCGGCATGCATGAACTAGAAAAGTTCAAGAAACAAGCTTTTGAGATATGGCCTATGGAACGAAGCCTGGGCTTTAGCTCACATTGAGGGTGGCCTCAAACTTACAGCAATCCTGCCTCAGCTGAGGGCTAGGATTACAGGTGTGTACACACCCAGGAGAGTACTAAGATTTTGAAGAAAAAAAAATCCTGACCCTCAAGGCTATCAAGTACTTCCTTTATGTACACCTAGAGACTCCTTTCTAGAATGCATCTGTCACAGACCTGACTTGTCCAGAAATGCAGTAACAGGGACAGGGTGATTCACTCATCTTCTTAGTCATCAGGCCTCAGTCAGGTCCAGGTACAAATATAGGAGGAATACAGCTGGTACACTCTGGGATATGACAGTGAAAGTCTTTAGGGTGTAGCACTTCAGTGAATGAGAAAAAAACCACACAAAGCAAGCACCATTTGGGACTAGTTTTCTAACTAAACTTTTATTAAATTATTTTTTGTTGAAAGCTGAAACCATCAAAATCCTCACATTAACTTTAAGTGCTGGATGGAGTAAAAATCACAACAGATTATTAGGTGATCTGTGAACAGACTGGCAGACAGATGACAACAGACAAAACAAAAACAAGGAATAGTCTTTTAGGGGGCTAGCCCAATTCTTTGCATGTAACATTTTATTAGGAATAAAGTATTAATAAATTTAAAAATTTTAACCTGAGCCCCAGACTCACCAAATAAAGCCCTTGAGTGCGTTGAGTTTTGTTATCTGCTAGAATTTCATCCTCTGAAAAAAGTGATTTGTCCTTGGCTGCAATCTCTACCCACCACCACCACCCCAAGTACACATCTCCCAATTCCTCGTGGCTGCCAATTCTCCTGACTATGGTGAAAATGACTGAAGGATGCAGTTTGTAATAGTGGTAAAGGCAGAGAGATGGTATTCTGGAGAATGCATTTTAAACTTTTCTCCAGGTGTCTAGTATGTGCTACAGGTTTTTGGGTTGTTTTTTAAAAATTTGAAATAAACTCCATTTGTGAAAAGTGAGTTATGAAGAGTGCTCTTTATTTGAAACCTCCACAACACAGACGCCAATCTTGTCTCGCATTGAATCATTAGCTGTGCACATCAACACATTCCAAGCACAAATTAAGAAATGCAAACAGAACAAAAAAATATATATATATATAATTTTTTCCCCTATCCAAAGGTTTCAAGTCTCAATGCAGCAAATCCTTCTGAACACAGAATCTGAGGAGCACACTGTTCAAACAGTTGGGACAAACAGGTCCCTGCAAAGGCTATTGCCTTTGAAACACATGGGGTGGGGATCATGGACAGCAAGGAAAGGGAAGGTGGGGAAAAGAGAATGAGCAGGAAAAGGGAAACAGGTATGTGCTGGGGAAGGTGGGGCAGCTGGGACACACACATGGTGAGTTGATGGATTTCATTTATTGGTTTTGACAGTTTTCTTTCTGGTTCTTTTTAAATGTCCCCCCTCCCCAGGTCCAACAACGGTAGAAAAACCCCACAGAGGCGGGTAGGGCTTTATTAGGCCAGCCCAAAACCTTCAGAGCACTCCTGGATAGCCAAAAGTAACATGTGGCGGAGCTTCTCAAAGCTCTCATAGGCAGGCAGGTCCAGCTGATTGAAACTAGGAAGAAAGAAGAAAGATCAGTCCATGAGAAGAGATGTAACTGAATTCATGTTCCCCATGTCCACTGGCTCTCTTGAGCTGAGGAAGCCTACTCTCTCAATTCTTTTTTGGACTGAACCCATAGCTTCCAGCTTGCTAGGCAAGTGTTCTACTGCTGAGCTAAAGCCCCAGCCACCCCCACCTTTTTTGGTTATTTTTTAGGGAAGAGTCTACAGGGTGTTAAGGGTCTCACCACTAAATCAGACTTGTAGTGATTCTCCTGTTTACAGCCTGCCAAGTGCTGGGCTTACAGGCACGCGCCACCACGCCCAGTCTCAATTGCCATCTCAGTGCACCCTGGGGGTGGGGCCAGCACAGCAGGCCTGGAGATCAAACTACCAGCCCCTGCACCTGCTTGCAGGTACTTTAATCTGCTGAGCTATTTGGCCAGACCTTCTCTCTACTCTTGATGACTCCCAATTTTGTCCCAGCCTGGTCTCCTCTGTTCTAATCTAATATGGCTCCAAATTGGCCATTAAGCACCAGGAACATAAATCTGACTGCAGCTGAATTCTTTAGACTTCAACTCTCTGCAACATACCATGCTCTCTTGTAATGTTGTTTACCTTCCAGTGTCTCCCCACTCCCCATTGTGTCTAGTCCATTTTATCTCAAGCATTGCATTACTTCCACAGAGCCACTAAAACTGTGAGCTACCCAAGGTCAAAGCCTACGCCAGATTTGTATTACCAACCTTGGGTAGGCACCTAGAAATACCAAGTCTGGAAGCTTGATCTGAATGCTGAAAAAGAGAAACAGACCCTCTTACCATGTGTGAGCTGAAGGCAGGCGATCTGTGGACCTGTCATCTCGATGGATCTGAAATTTCTGAATGCCATTCATACCTTCAAGGGCAGCAAAGCCTTGTAGGGGCACCTTGGAAGTACCCGTGACAAACTGCAGGAACTTGGCACGGTCAGCTTGGTCAAAAGAACGTAGTGCTCTCCAGAACCACTGGATCTGCAGGATGGGAAGTGAAAAGTCAGCATTAGAAAGAGCTCCTGGAAGGCAGGGGTTGGGATTTGGGAAATAGTACTGGAGTTGGGAGCTTAAGCTCTGTCTGTAGGGTAGGCTTTAGTTCCTTCACTCGTAAGATAAAAAACATCACCTGAAAATACCTTCGAAGGAGAATGAAATTAGGTACACTTTTTCCCACAAGTCCTTTCCCATAAGAGTACTGGATTATAGGTTGCTTTTTTTAAAAATTTTATTTATTTATGTGTGTGTGTGTGGAGAGCTCAGCCCACCAGGGGGCGGGGCTGGCTGGCATGTGGTGCTGGGGGATTGAACCACGGTCTCTGTGCTTTGCTAAGCTTGTTCTAAGTAGGTGCTTTAGACCACTGAGCCATCTCACCAGTCCTGATTATAGGGTTTTATGCAAACTAAAGTATACAGGGTAAGGGGAGCCTATAGGAAGGGATCCCAGCAGAAGTAGTGGCAGCAAAAGCTACGTACCTGAATAGAGTTGGACTGGTACTTGTGGTATTCAGTGTTGGATTTCAGATCATCAATGTCGATGGTGGGCAGTCCTGATATGAGCAGCTCCAATTCTTGTTCCGTGAAGATGGAAATGAGGCGCTTTGGAATGATCTCATAGAAACCTTCTAAGAAAGCTGCCAGCTGTTTGCGAATAGCTCCTGATGAGAGAACCAAAAAGCTACATGACTTCTGAACTCACACAAGTACTAGCAGTCAGTTGTGTCAATATGGCCCCTAATGCTATCTAGCAGGTCTGCCTGCTTTACCTACCACTCTTATTTCTAGGTCCCTGTATGAGAAGAGGCTTTTGGTTAGGTGTTCTGAACTCCTTCTACACAAGACTTTTTTGGTTGTGTCAGATAAAAAAAAGTTTCTAAAATGAATGGGAGTTGATCTCTTCCTGTATTAAGCAATTTGAGTTTTAAAGGACATTTCTCCTACCTGTCATTCTCATCTGGCATACCAGGTGTACATACTCCTTCTTATTCTCCTCTGTTACCAAGATGTTGGCTCCATTGGGTTTGAGGTCACGAACTTCACAGACTCCAAACTCTTGGACCTAGAATACCAGAAACAACAACTATATGTATCAAGCTTGATTCAGGATGAGATTAATATAAAGACCTGGGAGAATACTCTATAAACTCCTTGCCATACTCTCAAGCAGGGAGATGAGGCAAGTCCAATAGCAGGAATGAAGGAAAATTCTATGGCTCCAGAACCCATTAAGAAAGCAGAGAGGATAAAAAGGAACAGGACAATAACAGTATGGCTAATGCATATAACGTAACAACATAATCTTTCTTTTAAAAAAATTTGAGACAAGGTCTCACTGTGTAGCCAAGGCTGGCCTTGAACTCATTGGCTTATGCCACCATGCCTGCTGATACAATCTTTACAGAACACACTTTAGGGGGAGGGTAACAAAGTATTTTCAATTTTCACGTATCTCTATTTGTACAATCTTTCTACAATCAACCACATTCTGGAATGAAGAATTATGCACTGCAGTGTATTTGAAAAATATTTAAGAAACAGCCTGGATTATTAATGATGATGATTTTTTTTACTTGTGATATCTCACAAATACCTACTTCTCACTGCCTAACCAGTTATAGGGTATGGGGTTTCAAGAAGTCAAGATACTTCCCTAGAACTACAAGTGATTATCCAAGATGAGATCTAAGGTATTTAAAAATAGGTGTCTTGAACTGTATAGAATGTGCTGGGGACAGCATCCCTCACCTACCTCAGTGCTGAAGGTGAGGTCATAGCCTAGTGTGGAAACATCATTTTCCAGCAGATAAACTAGACCCTGGTAGAAGTGGTAATCTTCACTCTCCATATCCGTATATCTGAAACACAATTAGAGAGGACTGTGTATTTGTCTGTGTTATGTGCACAGAATGGGACACAAGCAAAGCATGTGAACCCAGAACTGAGTAGAGTCTCAAGACTGTGTCACATACTCACCTGACAGACTTGCCCAAGATGTGTTTGTAGAAGGAGCGAGTAAAGTAGCACTCTAAGAGGCGGTTGTCATATACAGCTTTGGCCACAATGCGTCCGACAAACTTGAAGTAGCTGAGGTGGTTGGGGTTGCAGTGGGAAGATGGATTGATGGTGTAGGTGACTCGATCACCAGGTGAGGTACGGAACAAGGCATACATAGGGTTAAACATCTCTCGAGAGATGATCATATACCACTCCCGCAGGAGCCCTCCAGCATCCTGTCCTTCTTCTCCTTCGAACACTATATACCTAGGAAAGAGTGAAAACAGAGCTGTGCAGAAAGCCCAGGACAGGGGGCCGGGGAGATGGCTCAGTGGTATTAGCGCTTCCCTGGCAAGCGTAAGGGCCTAAGTTCAATCGCTGGTTCCACCAAATAAAGAAAAAAAAAAGCAAGCAAACCCAGGGCAGAGCTGTCCATAATAGTATGAATGGGGGGGAAAAGGCTGTAAAGCAGCCTTTGGGGAGTATTTGATGAAAAGGTGAAGAGTGCCAGGAAAGCCCTGAGAAGACTCTGACTTGTACGATTAGATAGTGGGCCCACACCAAGAAGGGCGAGGAATCTTCATACAAACCCAGTAGTTCTCTCATCTCTTCAGCTCCTATGATACTTGCATTGGGAACTGCTATCTGCTCTATTTAGTTTCAGAATCACCAGTCAATAGTTGCTCATTTGGTGGAGGTGAGTCATGAACATACAATCTCTCCCAACCCAAAGTATAGTTTGATCAGCAGGTTTCCCCCTCTTAGTATAACAATGATAAAAGCTCTCACTGTGAAGCCTTGAGGTGTATCCTTATACACACCAAAGACTTTTCTGTCTGAAAACTATTGAATAGGTCATGCAAAGGGCCAGAAACAGGCCAGATCCAGATGATAGAAGACAATGAAATTATCTAAATCAGATTTCTATGGGGGAGGGCAATAAGTCCCTAAATGTCCTGTATTTGAGGCCAGACTAAGGGAGTGCCACTGGGTAGAAAGAGCCTCTGTCTTGTCTGCTCTCTGGTCTAAGTTCTTACAATCGATTCTTCATTTCTTCAGGGGATTTGCGATGAAGCTCACGATAAGAATCTTCAAACACATGGTCACGGCGAACATGCACAGCCATGTCTTCTTTCCGGAGCCCCTCGTCCAAACGCTCTAGCTCTTGGCGGAAATATCTTAGATAATAAAAAAGGAAAATAGCATGAAGAATAGCAGAGTAGACTTCCATTTGTGTGATCAGGACAAATATACAACAATACTCTGTCCATCCCACAAATACTCTCTGTTCATCACACACTTTGGAAGAGGCCAGTAGTGGGAGAGCTAAATAATTTATTATCAGCTTTAAATTTTTCCCATCTCTATTGAGTAAGGGCCCACAGAGACTGGTATGGAATTTCTATAAGTAGGTAAGCATGTGTATGCATCCAAAGAGGAGACAATGGATGACACTGGAGGCACTATAGAAGCCCCTGAAGCTGCCTGTGCATATCCTAGGCACTTTCAGCTCCATCATGACCCAAAAGGATGGAATGGGATTTTAGAAACCATGTGGTTCAAAAAAATCATACAGCTTTCATTTTGCTGATGAAGAATGGAGATAGGTGAAGGCTAGGGGGTACAATGTCAGTGGCAGAGCTGAGTTTTGCTTCCTCGTTAGCATCATTCCATGCACTGGCAGCAAGATAAACTTCTGGCCCCAGGAGCATCATTGGTTATTTCCTGGGAGGGGAGATACCATCTGAGGATCCAACCCCCACCACATACTTGCGCTTCACATCAAAGTCGAGGACACGAATATAATCTACTAGGACAGCAAAAGGCCCATCAGCAAGATGGGTGGTAGACTGCCGTAGGATCTGATTCAACACAGTGCGGTGAGTCTCTGAGGGTAGAAATGAAAGCAGGAATCAGAACATCATGGATTCCGCAGGGGAGCCTAACACTAACAACTATCTCTTCCCTGTTTATGTGGTCTAAAATAGGAAACAGCTAAACCAATAGACCAGCCCTGACGTGTGAATTTGAATCTGAGCATTATAATCTACCCCAACCTGGCTTCCCATAGTCTGAGGGAAAAACTCCAAACCCCTCAGAGGACACACATGGGGTTCCAGAGCAGGATCCTACTGACTTTGCTATACTCATGTTCTCATACTCGCTCTACTCTGCTATATAAGCTAAGGATAAAATAAATGAAACAACCTTGTACAAACTGAATCCTTCTATATCTGGGGCTCTGAGAGTACCCTGTACCTGCAAAGCGAAGGAACTTCTGTGTATCAGGAGGCAGGCTTGAGGAGATGTGCATAGATGAGGGCTCCCGGGAGAAGAATGGGTCAAGGGAGGAAGGAGTGGCTGGGGTTAAGGGGGCGGGAGAGAGTGGAGGAGGCTCGTCCTTGATGTGTGCCAGCTGGCTCTCACGGGTGTCTCGAACAGGAGGCTTGCTCTCCCGTTCTGTGGCATGGACTAGAAAGAAAGCCTCAACGGCAGGCTGAAGCACTGGGGTGAAGAATGAGAGAAGTGATGCTTTACTTTACAAAGTTCAATACCTTTTGGCATTCACAAACAAATCACAAAAATAAAACATGGGAGAAATAATGAAAACTGGCTGAGAAAGATATAACTGTTTACAATACTAAAGCCAGAGAACAAACAATTCTCCTCTGAATAATTTTTGTTACAGATGCACTGAGGATTACCAAAGAAGCAAGAACTTTAAGTCGGCAAAAATAATTTGGAACTAGGGCCCTCAAAGCACAACTTACCTAGCACCGCATGCTGATCATGGGATTCCTCCAGTTCCTTTAAACACTCCCCCAGCATGTCCCACAGCTCATCTAGGCTGAGCTGCTCACTGAGCAGGGGTAACTCAGGTGGCCTCTCTTCTTTGTCTTTCTCTCCCTGTAGGGTTCCATCTGAGGATACTGAATATACAGACCACAGAGTCAGAAAGCCTTTGATGTATACTCAAGAGTTCTTTCCCCAGACCAAATGTACAGGGTACTAGACAGATGAAGTAGTACAAACTGTTTGCCAGTTTGCCAGAATATCACTCACTGTACAACATATGAATTAATGCCTCGTTCTATAGTGGACAGCATTTAATAAAACAATAAATTTGGTTCCTCAGTTGCACTAGCCACATTTTAAGTGCTCAACACCCCTATATGGCTAGTGGTTGCCTAGTCACTGCTTCATTAGCCCCCAGAGAACCTCTGGGTAAGTTACCTAAGAGTAATGCAACAGTTGTCTTCCAGTCTACACAGTATGTTTTCATGGTATCATCCTCATTGAATTCTGACAGTTGCCTTGGAAGCAGGCTACCTTCTCCCTATTTTTTTCCCAAGGGATAAAGCTAGAACATAAAATTGAATCTTTTTGACTTTTAAGTTCCATGCTATTTATTTATTTAATTTAATTTATTGTACTGGGGATTGAACTTGGGACCTTGTGCATGCCAGGCAGGCGCTCATGCCACTGAGTGCCTCCCCGGCCTTCCATGCTTTTTTAGTCACCTAGTCCTGGGACAACTGAAGATCCTGAGAAGCCATGGAGCAAAATGCAGACATCCCATCCTCACCCCCAGTCAGTATTTTTCCTGATACGCTTTGTGATGGTGGTGGGGGGTGTCCTCTAATTCTGCTAAGTAAACAAGTAGCAAGACAAGTCTTCTCTTAGTGGGGGAAGAAACTGCTTCTTTACCAGCTCCTTACCTCTCTCTGTCTTCCATTCTCTATCATACCTGTTCCCTGTTTAGGCTTTTTCTTAAGCTCTGCTTTTATTGCTATCCAATCCTGACTACTCATCAAGGCTCTGACAGCCCTAGGAAGCTTGAATCGTGGCCCTGGCAACTATGATCATGTGATTTTGGGTAAAAGATGATTGGAGAACATGGAAATAGCTACCTTCCAAAGTCATTCTAATGAATAGTAAATAACTTAATATAGCATTCAAAAGACAGATGTCCTATGAGAATACTAACAGGAATGTATTCAAAGAGTGCCAAAAGTATTCTCCCTACAACTGACTTTGAGAAATATCACAAATAATAGCTTTCATTGTACCAGGTACTTCTAAGCACTCTACACATAGCATTATTTAATTCTGTACTCTACATGTAGTACTATTTAATTCTAACAGTGACCATCCTTTATTTTATCCCCTTCCCCTCTTGCTTCTTAACAGGCTCTCACTATGTAGTTCTGGCTGGTCTCAGATTCATGGATCCTCTTGCTCTGCCTCAGCCTCCCCAAGTGCTAGAATCTGGGGCATGCACCACCATGCCTACATTTTATTTTAGATGAGGAAAAAATTGAAGCAAAGAGAGGTATGTCTCCCATAACTCAAAACACAAACTTTGTCTCCATGAATAGCCAATCATAATGTGTTTTGGTTGATTTAAACTCTGAATTTACACACTGGGGAGCAAAATATCCAGTAGATACTTTCTAAGACTGGCTCTCCCTTCCGTTTTTCTGGGTTTGAAATTGGAAGTAATAATACTGACCAATGGACTGAGAATCTTGAGTACTGGGAGATGGTTGGTCCACATCCATGGGTGACTCCTCCCTCCGGACAGATGTCTCTGACTGGCTAGACTCCGACTGGATAAAAGGGAGAAAAGGTCACATAAAAGGGTGCAACTCTGCTTTCTTTGGCGACAGGCTAGAGGCTGGCCCTTCTACTTCTCATACATTGAACTTAGAAAGCTTCCCCTCTGGTTGGGGGACTATAGGTCTGCAGGACAAAAGAATGGCTTTCCCACTTTCTTTGTTGTCCACCTTCTTAAGCTTGTAAATTCTCCGAAGAGATCCTGTATTTCCTACACTCTACTTACTTCAAGTCTCCTAGGACAGGGGTGTAGGGGTGTGTGTGTGTAAATTCAGATAGGCAGAATGTAGGTTTGGTCTTTGTCTCTATTTGTTGGTGAAACAGAGATGAGTACCACATCTCACCAGTAGATATTAAACCAATTATCTGTCTTATCAGGTAACAGGTAAGAAACTGGGTAGAAAAACTTACTCCAGAGAAGCAGCTGTATTTTCCCTTTCTACTCTCCTGGAGTCACTACTACAAAGTTTTAGGCTATGTGGGGTATGTTTAATGAAACCATACTATGTAATTCTACATAAGGAAAAAAAAAACCCCAAAAACCCCTCAGGAAACCTGTATTTCCTGGGTCTTAAATGATGGTAACCTTACACGCTGCAAGGACAGAAAAACAATGAGTGCTGTACCAGGCATATTATGTCAGGCTTTTGTTAAGTCACTCTGCTAGTACAATACTGAACTGGCTATCTAAATACCTGAATGCCTGCTCTTAAAAGTGCCTGAGCATGAAGGTGCCAAGGAATCATGGAAAAAGAGAGGTACTAAGCCAAGGTACAGAGGGCAGCTATAGATGTAAGTGGCTGCATGAGATAGGAACCAAGCTTGAGGGACTTTCAGGGGTAGGATTCCTGAGATGTTTCTGATGCATCTGTATTGTTCCATGATACTGAAAAAAACTTTACCTCCACATCCCCTCAGAACCCAGACACTTAGCATTAGGCAGTTTGCAAAAGCGCCACTACTGACTGGATAGCTGGGAATGGAGTATGATGGCCAAGCTTTAAATCAAAGTGAATTTCAAACCAAACCAATCAATAAATAGAGAAACACCAGCAGAAAAGTAACCCTGTTGTCCAGAAGCATTCATATAGCAAACTCAATGCAAAAGCATACAAGGGCAATGAAACCCCACTGATGAAATGGGGTGGGGGGAGGTGGCAGAGGGGAGAGACGAATGAATGAGGGGCCACAGGCATCATGCTAACCGTTGCTGCTTGTTGCTGTCTCCGCGCCCTTTGACCCTCACGTACCATTTGTATAATGGCATCAGCCTCAGCCTCCAGCTGCCGAACAGCTGCCTGGATGCTGCTAGCTGAGCCTAAACCGGAGGAACCTGGGAAAGGGGAAAAAAAAGGCAAGATATAAAATACAAGAAGAGGGAATGCCCAATTCTCTCTTTTCTCCTGTCTCCTGGGCTGCCACAGGGCATCTTGATGAGGTCTCTGAGCATTAGTTCAAGTAGCTTCAGAGTAGTCATCAGGCACTAAAATCTACCATTATAAAGGCATGGCACTAGGCAGACAGATAGTAGCATGTGAGAGGGTTTTGTGGGATAGGAGGAAAGAGATAGGGGAAATGATTTGAGGCAACATGGCCTCAGTGTTTTAGGAGTAACCAAAGAAACAGAAAGAAAGTGCACACCCAGCGAGTTAAGATTTGTTCAAGAAAAGGTTTCTTATTACTCCTTAATTCCTACTTGCTCTAATTAATCTGCTATGGAGACAGATGAATGCAATACACAATGCAGCCATCAACACTTGGAACCTTATAAAAAAGGACCATTATTTTCCTTTTGGAAAGGTTATATAGGAAGGAAATAGTACGTCGAGTCCTTTCCTTCCATGGACTCTAGGTTTTCCACCACCAACCCTGCCCCTCAACTGGACACTCTAGTTTCATACCTAGCCTGCCTGTCTGCTTGGCTTTCTTGTTAGCTCGGCGGGTGTCATCTCGGAGCTGGATGATGACCTGTAGTACCCTCAAGAAGAACTTCTGTGTAGATGTCTTGGATGTCAACATGGACATAGAAGGCAGCTGGAGCTCCCGGCCACCCAAGGGTCGCTTCTGAGATGCCACAATTACCACATTCTCAGCCATGTCAAACCTGGATAGTGTAGAGGTGGCTTGCGTATATTGACAGCATCAAAGCATAAACACCCAGAGCAAGCAGGGCCTTCTGGTATCACCAGAAAGGCAAGGAACCTCAGAAGAAAATCTTACAAATATAGAGAATTAGAAAAAAAAAATCAAGTCATGTGTACATAGCACAAATAGTAAAATTACCCATAGGAAAAAAAATGAGGTCAGCAAGAGCAACCTTTTAGAATGCCCCAGATTTCTGCCCAGAGCAGAAAGTGCGGCTACCACCCACCTGCTCTGCATTTTGCCTTTCAGTTTGGTAGTCTGCGGCTGTTCCTCAGGTAGGCCATCAGGAGAGAGTGTTTCACACTGTGCTCGCCGTTGCTGTTCCAGATTGTATTCCCGTAGCTCAGCCAGCAGGGTACCTGGATAGAAAAAGGAATCAAGTGTTCAGAGTCTTCCCTAGTCAATAGCTAAAAATCAATCCTTCCCAAAAGACCTATCCAGGTCATCCTCTTTGCAGAGAAGCCAGAGCAAACATGATTTTTGCTCTGTTCAGATTATCATGTATGCTCATGAATCAACTATCTGGTAAACATCAATTTAGCCAGCCTCAGCATTCTGTGAATGCACACAAAATGCAGCTTGGTGTAGAGAAGATGCAGCCTCTTTTGGAGGCAGACAGGCTGTGGTCTAAATCCTATATATCTTTTGAAGTTAGAGGTTTTATGGTGACTGCAGGCTAATTTCTTACCATAGTCCAATTCACTAATGCATCTTAATGATGGGAATAATACTGATCAATCTCTCACGGGGGCCATGACAATTTGAAGGTAAATACACAGTAGTAGAGTGCCTAGGAAGTAACTGGCTCACGGTTGTATATGTAAGTGGTAGCAGCAAAAATGTCAGCAGGTAAGAGGCCAAATTCTTTCATTCTTGTAACTGTCATGTAAGTAAATACCTTGATTTTCACAAGTCAGTCAATTCTCCTAGTCATCTCAGCCTGTGAGACATTGGTGGAAAAGATAAAGGACAAAAAGATACAGAGAGACCCACAATTGGGATGGGAGTGGGAAAAAGCAGAGACTCCACTTTGACAGAAAATCTGGTTTTACTTCTTGGTCTGATCATTCTATCACCCTGAGTTCTACTCTCTTCTTGATAAATTAGGAATGAAAATGATGGAAACGAGGCAATGTGCAAGTGTTAAAATTTTGCTGACAGGGAGAAAAAAAAATTGCTCTTATAGGTTCCTATTAGGGAGAAGAAAGGAAACCTTTTTACATTCCCATGTATTCTCTTGTCCCTTCACTAGTACAGGCAACCAGCCACATGCTAGGTATTGGGGGCATAGTCCAACCTTGTTCTCAAATAAAACTAAACCAGAAGAACATAGAGATTGAGCTACGGGAGAATGGTATAGTCTGACTCGGTCTGGGGCCTTAGGCAACACTTTCAGAAAGAGATGGTACCCAAGTGGAAGGTTTCAAAAGGATAGAATGCCTTACTACTGTACCTATCTGTTTACAAAGCGTATAACCCAGATGACGAGCCCCATTCAGTAGCAGCTTGAGAACTGTGTCCCGGGTTCCAGGATCCCCACGAGAGAGCTGCAGTAACACATTGGCTGCATCCTCTAGGCCTTCTTCGGAACAAGAGTGTGACGTTAACACCTGGAAAAAGAGGGAAAAAAAGATAAGTCCTAAGGTGAGAACTCAAACCGCGTCCACCCTGTCTCCTTTTTGTCTTCAACCTCAACAGCTAAGAAGTGCTTGAACTCACCTCCACAGAGAGCTGTAGCTGGTTTTCAGTAAGACCAGAGGATACCATCTTGAAGTCAGCACCACCGCTGCCTCCCTCACCCACCTTTGCTGGAGATTTGCTGCCTTTAGTAGTAGTTGAAGCTTTGAGGAAACACAAGGAAAAGGCTCTGTGACACATGCCAGAGACATAAATGGCAGAACGAAGGACATTCTGAAACTATTCAAAGCATCAAAATGGGAAAGAAATGAACCCTATACATTTTCCCAAACTATTCCTCCTCCTGTGATATACCCTGCTCAACCTACTTTTGCAGATAATCCTTAGTTATCTGTTACAGGGCTCATTTCCTGGTTGTGGTTAACCCAACTAACACTGTATCCAGCATATTTTTGAATGACACTGTAAAAGAACTGGCTCATAACCACTATGGATATCAGTACTGAGATTCCTAAAAAACGAAACAAATTCTATTTACTCAGTTTTGTCTTCTGGGTAGCTTCCCGAAAGTCAAAGACATATTACAAGTGATATACACAAACCTAGGTTTACAGCAATACAATTCTTAATAGCTAAATCCCTGGAGTGGCCTATGTGCCCATCAATACATGAATGGATAAAGAAAATGTAGTATATAAACAATAGTGAACTACTCAGTAGCAGCTTGAGAACTGTGTCCCAGGTTCCAGGATCCGACACAAGGATAAGAAGGATACACAGAATCATTTGTAGGTAAACAGATGTACCTTGAAACCGTTAAGTAAAATAAATCAGACACAGAAGGTTAAGTATTAGCTTCTCTTACAGGAGAAATCCAAAGTATGGGTAATTTAAAGAGTAAAATAAAGGAGAGATGATAGGAAATAGGTAGGTAGACTTTGTGGAGATGGAAAAGGGATTTAGGGATGGGGAAAGAAGTATTCTTTTTTTTTTTTTTGCGGTACCGGGGATTGAATTCAGGACCATGTACTTGCCAGGCAAGTGCTTACTCTACTGAGCTACTTCCCTGGCCCAGGTGAAAGAAGTAAAAAAGGATGAAGTTGCAGTACATATGTTATCAATTCCCTTGCTGAATGAGTTTATCATGTCTTACAAACATATACTAATAGCCAGTAAATAAATATAAAAGTTGCTTATTATAGGAAAAGACAAAGAATTGGCTCCCCTCAGCTTGAAAAGCTGAGAACTCCTTGAAGATGAGAATTTTCTTTCAGTGCCCAGACTAAGGAAGGGCACATTCACTGAATGCCTGCTAACCCTCATAGGAGTGTTTGTGCGTGTATGAGAGGGAGAAAAGCAGTAGGAAGAGAAAAAGGAAGAAGGAAGATAGAAAACTGGTGAAGATGAGGGCAAGAAAATATACTATGCTTTCCCAAACAGAAACCAGGCCTAAGGCTACCATTTAGGGACTCTATGTGTCCAGGAGTGGAGGTGAGATAGGAGCCATAGTACATGCCCTAAATCTCCCAGCCTATACCCACACTTACTTGAAACAGTAGTGGTAGCAGTTGTGGGAGTAGTCACTGTGGTTGAAGCAGCTACTGCAGTGGTGGAAATAGATGTGGCAGCAACCAGAGCTGGGGCAGAAGTAACAGGGGTGGTTGCAGCAGGGGGTGCAGGTGTGGCGGCGGCAGTGATGGTGGTGGTGGTGATGGTAGAAGTGGTTGAGGAGGCAGCAGTGGTAGAGGAAGCACTGTTGCTAGAATTAGCCTGTGCTTCTGATACTTTGTTTTCTGGGAGAGCAATTGAGATGAGAGACAGGAGTCTGAGAAGTTTCTCGGTTAAGAGAGAGCTCCGGCGGATGACAGGGTGCGACAACATGTTCATGAGCTGCCCTAGTGGAGAGGCTTCTAGGCTATATGGGGATGTTTCCCCCTCAGCACCAGCGCTCACTGGCGCTGACTTCACGGAGTTTTTGCCTTTCCGGCTGACATTCATGTTGTCCAGTTTTACCAATAAGTCCCAGAAGTCTGTACAAATGCCACTGCTGGTGGTCTGTGAGGAGCATGGGCTGCAAGCCTGCTTACTGCCCCTCTCCCGATCGCTCTCACAGTTTGTTTCTTTGGTCCTCTGCTGTGTGAAGTGGCTGGGAAACACCTGCCAGGAAAAGAAGAATAGGCTTGGTCTAAGAGGTCGCCACAGAGAATGAGTTTTCCTGACAGAGAACTGGTTTACGTGACTCTCCTCTCCTTTGGTAACACAGGGCAGATGGCATACAGTAGTTTTATCCAACAGATGGTGAAGCAGCCTAGAGAAATGAACAAGGACTTTGCAGCAAGGCAGACTGAATAGCAAATGTTTCTGAGCCTCAGTTGCTGTTCATAAAATGGGGAGGAAAACGACGCTATTTATGAAGCTATTGAAATTAAACAAGATAACGTATTTTGCACAGTGCCTGGCATAAGGCAGGTAGGCTCTCAATACACGGTAACAACACTATTATTCAAAGAACACTCATTGGAAGTGGTACTAAGTCCTAGGTTTAGCTCTTATGACTTTTGAAATCACATGACAAAACCAATGAAATCTGAATCCCATGTTCTGTTGACTTACAGAATGCATAAAAACCTAAGTTATTTAGTGGACAATTTCTTGGAAAGCACATAAAATAAGAGCAAAGAGGAAGACTTGTTAGCCCCCTTAGTATCCAGATTTGACGGAAGCTGTTGCTGCCACACCATTTCTATTCTCAGGAGTTAGGTTCCTTCAAGCTCCTCACCTTGGCCAATTGAATGAGTGTGTCTAGAACATGTCTGCAGACAACAGGAGCAGCCTGAGGGTGGATGTGGACTGTAGAGCCACTGCTTGCATGCTTCTCTGTATGTTTGCGCCCTCCCGAACGCTGGATCTGGAATATATTAGTCCTGCAGCCTAAGGCTGCATCCATGGATACTGAGAGCCAGGAAAGCTGATTGGAGCTCTTGGACTCCATCTTGTGTAGAAGGTCCAAGGGACGGTTCTCATGACTGCTGGACCCACAGCTCTTGCTTGACTTTTTGCCCTTTTCCTCACTGGTGGAGAGCTTCGGTGTCTCAATGCATAACTCACTCTCACTGCTGCGTTGCAAAATGGACAGAAGGCTACGAATGACCCAGTGGCGGGTTTGGGCATGATAGCAGAGATTTCTCAGTACTCGGTGTAGGCGGCTAGTATTGAGCTTTGGCTCATCCACAAAAAGCAGGACCAAGAGACAAGACAGGGCTTCGTGGTCCAGAAGAAGCCGTCCTCGGAGGCGGAGGAGAGTGTCCACATTACTGCCAGAAGGCCTAGAAATATAGTTTCTGGTTAACATTTCAGGTAGAGCTCTGGAATGAGGCATAAACCTGGGTGAGCGGATTGAACTAGACGCCTCTAGGGAAGCTCAAGAAGAGATGAGGCACACAACTGCCTGCTTTGTTTCTATGATATACAAGGCATTTTATGTCTGTTAACTTCTTCCCCACAGCACTGCTATACAGCCTATATCATATCATCCACTTCCAAGATGCACTAGAGGAGCAAAGAGTTAAGTAATTTTCCCTGTATCTCATGAACACTGAGAAGAGAATACAATAGAGTGTTGGCCAGTTCTGTATTATCCCTTGACTGGTATGCTTATTTTTGTCCTCTAGACTACCAGAAGAGTACTTGCCTCATATGTCACCATTCCCTTCACATTTTAGCATGCTGGGTTCACTTTGCTGTAGTATTAGCTAAATAACTTGCTCCTTCTTTCTGTTTCTCCAATCTAGATACCACCAACAAGATTATGTGGCTTCTTGTTTTATTTGCACGTGAGGCAGATAGCATGCCTTGTTAAAAGCATTACTAACACCTGCTGACAACCTTTTTTTTTTTTGCAGAACCGGGGATTGAACTCAGGCCCTTGTGCTTACCAGGGATGCGCTTATTCCACTGAGCCACCTCCCTGGCCCGACAACCTGCTTTTGTAATTGTGGCCCTTGATGGCTAGACTAACCAAAGTGTGGCCCCTTTTGAGAGGGGAGTTCAAAGATGAGGCTCTCCTACTCATTCAAGGCAATTGTCTAGAGTGGCCAGGACTTCAGCTTCCATGAATATAAAATTAAAGGAGTTGGACTAATAAGACCTGAGCAGTACAAAATAAGGTGAAAAAAGACCGAGGTACCTGTTATGGCTACTACTACCCCCCATCTGGAAGGTACCACCTCGTTGCACAGCAAGGCGAGTGTACTGGACACCACGGTTGCCACTCAGGCGACTGGTGAAAGCTGGAAGGAAAGAAAAAGGAAACTGAGAACGGACAAAGGAGGTAGTAAGCTGTGTCCAGGCAGGACAAAGGGAGCAATGAATCTCCTTTGGCCAATGCCCTCCCACTTGCCTCTCTACCTGGACTTCGGAGAATAGCTGAGAGTGCTGAAGTGCTGCTGTGTCCAAATAGCCGCTCATGCATGAGCTGCCTCTGCCGTGCTTCCTGTTCTCTTCTCAGAGCTTGGGCCTCAGCTGCAATGTCAGGTGGCATTACAGCCAACACACTGTCTTCCATATCCTCTAGAACACTACGACGTAGGTCCGAGGGCAGAGTCTGGATGAAGGTCACAGGGTCCATGGGGGTGTCCGAGCTGGCATTCTGGGCCAGTTCCCGACGCTGTTGTTCAGCTCTCTGCTGGGCTAGCACCTATGGGGCAAAAGAAGTCAATGGAGGCAAATCTGTTGCCATTTGGCCTGGCCCCATCATCTGCCTGCTCACATACTTCCTCCTGAATGGCTGGAGGCAGAGCGGCCAGGAACTCAGGGCTGACTTCAGTCACACCAGGATTTCCCACCACTGTGGTAGCTGAGCTATTTGTGGAGGGGGCACTTCGAGTTGGTGGACGGATGCCGAGTTGATTCTGTAAGACTTCCCGACGGATGTCATCAGGCAAAGCAGCCAGAAAAGAGGGGTCTACACCTTCAGGGAGACTGATACCTGAGGGAGATGTCAAGAGAAAAGGAATTCAAGTCACTGCTTAAAGAAAACCAGGTTTGTGTATTTTCACTGGGCAGCATGGCAGACGATCTTTGGTAGGGCTTGTTTTTTCTGGAAGAACGGCTCAGATTTCAACTCTTTACTTTCATCCACCTTTTGGTCTTCTGTGCTTTTACTGATCTCTACTTTTAAAGACTTAGCAGAAGCCTTTTGTATAATTTCCCGAACATTTACTGTTATTTACTCTGTTTCAGCCACGCCAGTGAAACATCCTCCCTACACCCAAAGGTACATGTGTTTAAAGGCTTAGTTTTCAGACTGTGGTGCTACCAGAAGATGGTGGAATACTTAGGAGGTGCGGCCTTATTGGGAAGTCTTTCAGTTATGTAGAAGTGCGCTTGAAGGATGTATTATGATTCTGATCTTTTCTTATTCTGTCTTGTGCTTCCACCATGCTATATGCCTCACCACAGGCTAAAAATCAATGGGAGCAATGGCACCATAAACTGAAACCTCCAAAACTGTGATCCCAAATAAACCTTTCCCCTCTTTTTAAAGTTGATTATCTCAGGTATTTTAATGGAAAGCTGCCTGAAACAGTATGGATGGAGACTGAAGAAATTAATTATGGTCTAAGTTGTAAAGGTAGAAGGAGCACATTGTGGAAACCTAAGAGACCTAAGGATAGTGTGACTCTGAAGCCTGTGTGTTCTATTATGCAACTCTCTCCTGCACACATGCCCTCTCTTTGGATGGAACTGTTTAGTGGACATTTCCACACAAAGAAGTACTAGAAGCCAAAAACAATCTCAAGACAGCCTAAATACTCATGGAACTCACCAGCAAGGGGATCTTCTTCTTCACTGCTTGTTGAAGGCAGTGGCTCTTCTAGAATTCCACGGGAATCTGCTCCAGAAATGGCTACAGCAGAATCTCTGGTGGAAGAACTCTCAGAGGAAGCAGGGGGAGAGCTGAAGGAAATCAATTCTCAGGTTGTTCTCTGTAATTTTACTCATTTATAAAACATTCCTAACAGTGTCCATTTCTTACAGCTATCAGGTGCTCAATAGGCATGCTCAATAGGCATGCACATTAGTTAATATGTTTGCAGCTTCAGATACCCTCTAATACATTCCTACTCTCCCCTTGCACACGGTGCTTACCTGTCCTCAGGTGGCTGGGTAGATTCACCTGTCCCATCAGCCCTGCCTTGCACTTCAGCCACAACAGGCAGAGCATCCCCAGGAGTAGAGCCACCTGCTGTGGGCTGCTCAGAGCTACCAGTTGCTGAGGTATCACCCACAGCCTCTTCTAGGGTGCAAGAAGCCAGGCTGCTGGTGTCCATGGGAGATCCTTCTAGTTGACTGCTGACAGCTGTCAGTGCATCAGAATCTTCAGCTCTCTCTGGGGAAAGAGAAGCTGAAAGAAGTGACAGGGAGAGGTAAGAACTCTGCTTGGTCAGAATCTGGGTAACAACACGACTATCTTTGGTAGAGTTGCTTCTCTTCATCATTTAGACTTCTCAAACTTTATCTCTTGATGGTGTTTTTTGTGCTCTAACTGATCTCACATTTTAAGGCTCACCTGTAAGCCTTTTCTATTTTTTATTTTATTTTTTGTGGCCTGCTCAGCCCACCATGGGGTCGTGGCTGGCGTGGCATGTGGTACCAGGGACTGAACTGCAGTTCCTGCATGCTGGCCTAAGCAGGCATTTTAGACCACTGAGCTATCTCGCTGGCTATCCTTCAGCCTTTTCTACCATTTTTTGAACATTTGCTATGTTCGGGTATGCCTGTCTTAACATCTACCCTAGGTACCCCATAAAAGGGATTTTGTCACTGAGATTTCTGGCAGGTACCACTTCTATATGCATGCCACCAATTCTAAATAAAAAAGTTCTTTTAAGGAAAAACCAAAAAAAAAAAAAAGAAATGATTCCTTAATGTTTCTCCAGAGTATACCACAGGCAGCAGGCAGCATGAAATGGAACACAGAGAAGAAGGAGATTTTAATTTATCCTGTTAGAATACCATGCTAAGAATTTTGAGGCCTCATTTGAAACTATAATAAATAGTGACATAAAAGAAATTAAGAACTGTGTATATGGAGTCAGAAGCTTGCTATATGTAGTATTGATGTCAGACAGATCTGGATATTAATTTGAGGTCAACTACTTACTGAGTGACTTTGAGGTAATCATTTTATTTTTGAGTTTCAAGTTTTTTTTCAAAGACGGTAACATCTACTTTGGAGGACTATTTTCAAAGATGTAAATAATAAGCCGGGCATGATAGCCCCGCAGAGTAAATGCTTCAATAAACAGTTGAATCCTCATCAATATCATTAGATACACAACTACAATTACTGGAGGACACAGGAGAAATCGCAACTTTACCTAAGAAAGCTAACGTACAAGTTGAGATCATATATGAGGACTTTAGCTCATACTTATCGCTCTCAAGCAAGAATAGAGAAAAACTGCAGTGACAGTCATTCTTCCCTCCTGTTGCACCCCTAAAAATGGAAACTCTACTCACTTATAGTGGGAGCTGGAGATAATTCCATCTGAGTTGTTTCTGCTTCTCCACTTGGCCTTGTGGGGCCCAATTCCTCCGACTCTACAGGCATCAATAGCTGTGTAGAGTTTCCCCTTTCTCCAGCTGGGGACTGCAGTTCCTGAGGAACTTCTTCTAAGGCTGGTGGGGGTGGGAGTGCTGGTTGCTGCTGTGAGGGCTGCAGAGTACCAATGGCCTCTTTGGACTCAGATGTAGCTGCATCAGTTGAAGACAGGGTTGTTGGGTAGCTGTCAGGCATAGGGGTCCCATCTTTCTCGGAAAGAATAATAATGGGGGTTAAGGGAACACCAGACAATGACCAGGGGAAACATCCTAATCAACACATATAGTTTTACAAGTATTCCACTCAGCCAGTGACACAGGACTACCTCGCACAACCAACTGCTTCAAGAAACCACTCTTAGCTGGTCTTGTACACTCAGGACAAAGGCTAAGTAAAGCGGTGCTAGCTCTATGCTAAGAACTAGAACTCTGACTTTGTAGAGCAGAAGAATAAATTTTTTTCTATGACCCAGAAGGGAGAAGGGGAAGATTGTAGGTCACATAGTTAAGATTAGGCTAAATGTTTCTGTAATGATACAGAATATCTATTATCAAAAGTCTATCATTTCTGCAATTTCCTTATTTGCATGGAGCAAGGAATAGAATTTCCTTAAAACTGTTACTGAAGTACACTTCAATTCCCTTCTTCCTTGTTACACTACTGAGTAAATGAAGTCAATATACAGTTAAACAGCAAAATATTTAAGTTTCTACATAAAGGCAAAATAATCAATGATATGCTCTAATCAATGAATAAGCCATTTTATACTGATATCTGTTCACCCTAAATATTGTCTATTCACTTCCACTGGTCCTTTTTCCAGTCTCCATTATTCAAAGAACATCTACAGCTTTGTCTCATGGAGGCAACAGTACCAAGACTTAAGTGAATATGCTACACACCAGGGAAAGTAGTAAGTCGTATAGTTACCTTCTTATTGGGGCCTAAAATCCCTACCCCACAACAATACAACTTACTACCTCACCCCAGCACAAGCAAGATCTTTTAGTAAGAATACCAGGTAAAAGGCCACTTTATCTTGTGGCAGATCCTTTCAGAAACTTTTAGCTAGATTAAGGGCACTAGGACACCTACCCTCCTTCATTGCTTTAAAAAACATTACGTAGAAGGGCCCGGGGAGATGGCTCAGTAGAATAAGTGCTTCCCTGGCAAGCGCAAGGGCCTGAGTTCAATCCCCGGCTCCACAAAAAAAATAAATAAATAAATAAATAAATAACTAAAATAAATAAATAAATAAATAACATTATGTAGGATTTGGAACAATCATTTCTCAACTCAAGTGCCCAAGGAGATATAAGATATAGGGAAGCAGGGGGCCAGGGCTATAGCTCAGTGGCGTAAATGCCTGTACGTACACACACACAGGTGCGTGCACACACACACACACACACACACACACAAAGATATAGGGAAGCAGAAGCAACTTTCGAGGAAATAGGGATAGGAGACACATGATACCACACGGACCAGTTGTTAAGTTATAAAATGGCTACTGACCACTGTTTAAGAAAATTGAAAGGAACAGATACAATTCATCCCATAAAGCAACCTTCACCCAGTAAGATTCAGTTATAGAACAAATCAAAACAAAAGAGACTAAAATAGGGACTACGAGCTTTCAGTTTACTCATTCATAAGAAAAAAAACTAATCTCAACACCATTTAATTTTACTTTGATATCAAGTAACTATGAAAGATATAACCTTTGAATGACATGAAGTTTAGCTTTAAGAAAAACAATTAAACCACTCTTATTTGGTTCATTTCCACCAAGGTGCCTGGCATTTGAGAACCAATGCCATTAGGTAAGAAGAAGCACACATGAACCATCATGTTCACCAAAGACACAATCACTTTAAAGATGTACATGTTCAGTTTCAGAGGAAAGGACTGGATATATGACCTTGTTACACAAGCTAGCATAAGTACAGCATAACCAGAATAAGAACCTGAGCAGAGGCATTCGTTGGGAAGGTGTGCCAACGTGGGAAAGACAGTAGACTGTATAGTTATCTCCAAGATGGGGTATGACCCTAAAACTATACAATCTACTACCTCATCCCACAGAGCACCAGCATCCATCTTCAGCCCAGGTGGGCCAGCTGCTTTGAAGGGATAGGAAAGAAAACCCACTATCAATTAACGAAGAGGGAAAGGGAGACTTACCTGACAGGTTCTGTTCAGTGGAGTCATTTGTCTTAGAAGCAGTACACTGAAAGGACAAAGGACAGACCAATGTGGGACTTTCTTGAGCACAGTACATAGAAATCAACTGTGAGTTACTATCCTTCACCTAGACCAGTGATGGTGACCCTTTTAGAGCTTTCAATAATAACAAACAACACACTATGACATAAATACCACAGGTCTGACACCTAAACTGTCTGAGTTTAGTTAACTAGATGGAAAATACTTGGGCTGAGTGACCAAAGGAAAATATCTTATTTTGTCCACTCTTGATATTTTTGGTGGGTTGTGTTGGGTGAATCAAACTCAGGGTATCACACCTGATACATGATAGGAAAACACTACCAGAATTATATTCCCAAACCTGGCACAGTTGTGTTTTTTTTGGCTATATACTTGGTTTTCTTAATTTTTTACCCTTCTTCATAGCCCTGTTTAAGGGCAAAACTTATATAAAAACATATTTGTTAGATAAAACTTGCTATAATTAAACATTCAAATGTCCTTATTTACCTTCTATATTGTTTGGGACTGGGCTCAAGGCCCTGGATAAGTTCTAACACCTAGATGTCAACATCCTTATTTTCAATCTACCTGTTATCCTAACTACACCTACGTCTACTTGCTAGGCACTTCTATTAATTTCTATCATTTATTTTTAAAGCTATAGTATTTTTGGGCCCACGAGTTTCTGAAAAAGTAGGTAAACTTTTTAAACAGTCACGTTAGGCATCACACAAATTTAAGCCCTAGAAAAGCAGCATGCGGTGATGGGATTTAGAGTATATTTTCACTGATCTGATTCAAGCTTATTCTGGCTCAAGATTTCCCAGTGAGACAATGGAGAAACAACTTTCCCTCTGGATTTGACACCCCCGCCCCCAGCACCCCGCCAAATTCAGGTGAATATATGGTTTACTTGGAATGAGAAATTTCCCGGGCAGGTGTAACATGAAAGTCCTAGGATTCTTCAGTGACATGGTACCACCAATGTGCCCCAATCACAGGAAAATTAAGCCACAAAGGCAAAGATGAGTTCTTCTAGCCCTTGGGAATCACCTGTGCATTCTGGTCCCTGTTCTCCTTATCTTCTTTGCCTTTGTCAGTTATCTTTGTTTCTTCCTCAGCCATCTGTTTCCTGCGTTTCTCCCGCCTTTCTTCCAGCTCCTCATCCCTCAGAAATTCCAGGTGATTGACAATGGGAACTTTAACCACTGATAGCAGAGAAGTAAAGATTAGAAGTTGTTTAGGGTAAGAAGAGGTGTCCTGGGGAAGAAATCATGGGAGAGTTCGAGGGCACCATGAACTAGAGAAACAATGCTCTAGATGGACTTCCCAGCCCGGAAGGCTTACTACTTCCTTGATAACCAAATAATCAAGCTGCCACACACCTGAAACACAGTCGTGCATGCTCTCAGCATCAAGAACCTTGCATTCCTCTGTCCAGCGGGTCAAGGCTGTAGGGATGCTGGACAGGGTTCCTATAGGGGAACAAAAGTAAGATTCTTGGCCCTATCAAGTGTCAACTGAACCAAAAAAATCACAGATTTTCTTAGTAGGACACAAAGTCTATCATGAGGTTTGGCACATAAAAGGTTCACAGAGACAGTAAAGTTTTTGTTGCCCTTGGCTAAATCATTTAGTGGTTTCTCCCCGATGGCATGTGGTTTCTCCAGGATAGACACTCTTCTATATTTCTTCAGTAAGGAAAATGAATGACATACTCTACATTCTCCATTTACCACACAAACTTGCCTGCTTGACTGGTAGCTGTGCTCTGGTCATGAAAAAAGTCATCTAGCAGTTCGTCATCAGACCGGGCAATGATGTGGACGTCATCGTTGCCTACCAGGAGGCGGGCTCGGCCTCGGCTTTGTAAGGGAAGGCTGCTGCTTAGCTGAAGGATGTCAGCAGCAGCAGAGGGACCAAGCAACCTGTAGGGGGATGGTAATGTACCCAAGGTCATTATCAACCTGTTACTGAGAGTTTTTATTGTTTCTCTACTAAATTCAGAACACAATTATTAATCCTGTTTAACTCTTTTTTCCTATCAGACCAATTACAGAACTTTATTTGTAATGAGAATGCACATTGTTCTGTAACTTTGATATGGGCAGTACCAGTGCCAAGAACAATGCCTCTGTGGTTTGTACAATGACCTTTACAATACTTACATTTTTTTTTTAACTTTGAAAACTTTCTCCTACTAAACTGAGAGGCAGGAATGTTGTCCTTACTACATTCAAAATGTCAAATGCTGGACATGTGAGATGCTTATGAGTCAAATGTATAGGATTTTCAAGTAGAACAGGACACACACACACACACACATATGTATTTTACCAAAGTCTGTACAAATACTGGACCAAAAAATGGGACACACAAGTTATTGAGGAAATAGTCCCTCTTTGGACTATTTCCTCAACAGTCAAGACAATGCTGAAACTTAGTAAAGATTCTTATAAGACCACCAGTGGGTCTAATACATAGTTATAATTTACCTCTGGAGTATAAGAGGAGGGTTGGGCTGACGATTCCCAGGGTAATGAACATGGATGGTGTGGCCTGTATTAGCTGTCAGTTGCCTAAGAGTCCTCTGACTGCGTCCGATGCCCTGAGTGAGACGAGTTGTGGAGGAGCCACTGCCCAGTGTCAGAGAACTGTGATCTGCATGGCGTACCATCAATGGGTGGGTTGTAGGGATATTTCCTGGGGATGGGGGGATGTCTGCTGCAAGGATAATATGCAAAAAGGGGTGTCAAAAAAATTTCTTCCATGGCTGTTCAAATAGAACCATATCTCCTAGGCCTTACTTCCTCACACAGAAACCTGAGCCTTGTCCTTTCTCCTTCATTCCCATAAATAATCTATAACCACTGATACTACCATACAGTCTATGCCATCATCGCTCATCTAGATACGGCAATGGCCTCGTAAATAGTATTTTCTTCCTAATCTATTCTCTATACCACATCCACAATACCACCTCTACGGTCCCTCACACATGCTGCTCCTCCATTTTGAAGACCCTTCTTCCTTCCTGTATCTGATTTTTTCTTGGCCTAACATGTCACTTAACCTGTGATACCTGATTTTAACAGACTGAGATAACCTTTTATTTTGTGCTTTCTTCCCACATTATGATGTAATACATGGCAATATAATATTGCTACCCAATCATATACTCTTAAAGAAGGACAACAGCTTTCTCTGCTATTGCTTTATCCCCAGTATGCACACCTCAAATATCTGTCCAGTTTGCTGAACAGACAGAAGTTGAACGGTAAGGAAGATGAATGAAAATCATAAAAATGAAGAAAATCATGGAAGATTACCTTGAAAATTAGATAATCCAACCCATTTTTTGTAACATTTTTCATTTACAGGTGATAAACTGAGGCTCAAAGAGGTAAGAGATTACTTGGCCAAGACAATATACAAGAATAGTGTTTTCTGCTGTTATATTCTGATCTGAGGTCAAGACCTGTCCTATCAAGACGGCTTGAGTGTAGGAACTTAATTCTAAATGACACTTAATGTGAATTTTGATGCTGAGGGGAGGGAAGAGATTCAGTATCCCATAAAAAGATGTATGTTTGATGAAAAATAAAAAGGTTAAAATCCACTCCCCATTGCCAAGATCAAAGGTGTCCATCCAAACCCTCAAGATCCAGTGCTACAGATAATAAGGGCTGATTGCCCTATAACTGTAGCGTGTACGTGGGTGCCCGATGCAATCAGCCTTGGTCTCACAAGCAACATGATCAAGTTATCCAGGCTCTTAAAAGGCTGCCTGTATACAAAAGCAGCCTTTTTCTTGCTAGTCCTTCTTTGAAGGATATGCTATTGAAAGATGCATTGAGATATCCCTTGCCCCTGGAAGGCAGCACAGGAGAAGTTCAGTCTGTATCAGATTGGTAGTTGCTTTGGTTCACTGCTTGGAATACCCTAGAGAAGGGTATTAAGAATCAAGAGGTAAAACCCAGCTGAGCCCCTGTATCTTACTAGCACTGGAGAACATGTTGTCAAACTCAATGATGAGATCATCCTCCCGGTCAAAGCGCTCAAATCGGACCAAGGGAGAAGCGTTCATATCAGGGTAATCCTCATCCAATTCCATCTCAGAGCCATCGTCGTCATCATCTTCATCTCCCTCTTCACCTTCATCATCCTCCTTAAGGGAAAATAGGAGATGGAGAATTGCGGGAGGTAAGGGTTTTCTGAAGTCTGACGTCACGTGCACATGAGGGAGGTTGGCGCTGAGGCTAGCTAGCGACCCAGACTGTTGTTTTCCTGCAGTTCTGCGGTTCCCACAGAAGAGGGGTTATCTCAACCAACCCAAACATAGTCCCCCCTCACCTGATCATCTTCCTCATCTTCCTCCTCCTCCTCCTCTTCATCCTGACTATCATCCTCATCCTCGTTACTGCCACTGCTGTCCTCTTCCTGAGTGTGCTCCTCCTCATCCTCAGGGTCCAGGATATTCATGGAATCTAAAACAAAGGGAGCACATTGGAGGACTATACTGAGTAGCTAGAAAACAGGCTACTTAGCAGACTAGCAGACTGAGTGGGAAGGCAATTGGGTATCTGACTCTAGGAGAGGAAGAATCACATCTTAGGTGATGTACAGACTTAGCAAGCCAGCTTGTATTTCCTGAGAATGTTAATCTGCATCAACACGCTGAGCAGGGTGGCTGAATGTGGAGGCTGGCTACAGGGTGGCGCTCAAGGAGCTCATTCTCTAGGACTTGGCCAAGTCTGCTGGTGCCCCCTTGCCTTTGCAGCCCTACTTTGCTACTGACTGCATTCTATTGGTAAGAGGGAATCTGGAACGATGATAGCAGGTGGGTGAGAAGAAAGCGAACCAAGTAAGAATTGACAAACTTTGGGTAAGCAGTAGTAACATATTTGAAAAACTGGCTGAGCATAAAGTGGATGGTGTATGTCAGCGCATGCAGACAGATGCTTCCTTATTCTGCACATGTGGGCAGCTGCCTCCAGGAAACCCTAGTGTACTGTCTGTCAGACGTGCAGGGCAAGAAGGGAGGCCTTTCTGGCCTCGGCACTCTCACCTTCTCGGTTGGCCTGTAAGGTGGAAGCTTGGCTGAGGTTGGAAGGAGCTTCATCCATCAGCACGTCCTCTTGTGATTCATCCTCTCCACTTCTGCTCACTGAAGGTTACAGAGCAGAGCCTTCACTGAACAACAGAGGACTTCCCTTTCCAGATTGGGTGCATCTAAGTAGCTATGTACACCTAGCAGTTATCCACTTTTTTGGATGAAGGATAAGATCTGGATTCTTCACTGCCAACTAGCTAGGTGAACTTGGCCAGTCACTTTACCTGTCTGAGTCTCAGTTTGCTCATCAGTAAAATGGGATCATCCCATCTGTCTTGCAATTCCCACTAATTGTGAAACCACAGAGGATAATGGATGTGAAAAAGCTTTGTAAAATTTAAGAATATGTCTACTTGTATTTATCCTTTGACTTTCTTGATCAATAAAGTAAAAACACATAAACCTTGAAGCCAAGTGACAGCAGGATACCTTTGTCACTTTCCCTTTGAAGCTTAAAAAGGGCCACCCTTAGTTACTCTTTTGTTCATGTTTGAGATCCAGAGGCAGAGAAAGCCCTGGTACTTGACTGAAGAACTGAAAGGAAAGCACTTCCTCACCCTACAGCCTCCTCTAGTCTTCTATGAAAATAAACACTTTTGATGTGCTTGAGGTTATAATCTATACTTATGGTAACCCCTACCCCCCATAATACTTTAGACCTGCCACAGGCCTATAGATGGCTTGTAAATTTCTCATCTGTAAGATCATTAACATTAAGACAAGCAGCAAACTAGGCTGGCTATGAGCCCTTAGACAGAGCTGAGCAAGCAGATGATGAGAAAAAGGATCCTCCCAAGAGAGACTGAAGCAAAGGAAGAGGCAATGCTCAGTTCCCGGGCTCTCACCTATAATCGTACTGTTCCCAGATCCGCCATCCCTCTCAAGCAACTCATCTATCAGGTCCTCCAGCTCATTCTCAACCTGGAGAAAAATAGAACATACATATGGATGCACACAAGTCTATCATTATGCTAGCACCTAAGCCCTAAAAAAGCCAGTAAGGGAGCACACGTTTCTAGGGTAATGTGTGATGCAGGATGTTACATAAAAACCACACACTTCGTGCTAATAGCATAGAAACTACCATGTGCTGCCAATCCATATTCAGATTGTCCGTCATATGAGTCCATCCCAATTAGCTGATACCAGGCTGTCTTAGGTTGTCCAGGAATACATGTAGATCTTAGAGCAGGCAGCTAAGGACCACAGACCCAATTTTTTGCCCGCTGTTACCAGCTCCAGAAATTACAACGCTTTCTCTTTAGGGTCTTTAGAAGACTGCCATTTTAATGCCCCAATGAGAGCTGGTGCTATGGAATGAGGTGGTGCTAGGGATAAGGTGGTGTTAAGGAGATTCCATTAATGACGAGAGCTGAGTACATCAAAGACCCTGGGCCTAAAGGCCTCAGGCCAGCTTTCTACTTCAACATTTGACCTGTCCCTAATTTTCTGGTTGGGATCTACACCATTTCATAGTATATGGCACCTTGGCTCTGCCCCCATCCCTCCTTTGATAAAATTCAAATTCATTTGCTAAGCATCTACTGAATGTATCATCTGTGTTCCTCCGCAAAGCAGACAACATTGAGGCAAGGATCTAAAGTACTCACTCACCCACACCACCTGGGAGTTTGGTTCAGTGCCGCAACAGGGAATGCTGGATGATCTGCCTCCCTACCTGCATCTCTTGTGAACTGAGCACCTCAGGCTGCCCAGCAATCACCACTGAGTCGGTTTCAGCCTCCCCATCCATGATATCCCCATCTGCCACCTCTGTCTGAGTGACATCATGATCCTCCTCCTGCACTTCTGCTTCCCCAGGCTCGCCTGAAACAATCAACCAACCAGCAAAATAATCAAAGGGTGTCTATGTGTTGGGCACCATGAGGCAAGTGTGAAGACAATCCCTTCGTCGGGCAAGTTTACAAATTCTCAGAGAATAAACGAATGGGTGACAAAGGAAAAGACAAGGCTACGTGTGAGGATACCCAAATAAGGCTGAAATTTGAAGGAATTCTTTGTGGGGCAGATTCCCACGCCACTACGACAGATCTCTGGAAGGCCAGCAAGTTCCCAGGGAACACCAAGTAAGAACAGTTGTAGTCCGTGCCCCAAAAGCAACTACATACACCCGCCCATCTAGTCCTCCAGTCCATTGGCTCTGATTCCCTACCTGGGTCTTGCTGGTTGCTACTGGAGTCCTGAGAAACTCCTTGGGCATCCTGTTCAGACTTGCTCTTGCTAGAAGCACTCTTGCTGCCAAAAAGGCTACTAGGCTGGTTCACAATTCGGGAAAGTGTTTCTAAAGGCTTCAGAGCAGCATTGACTGTGTTGGCCATGTTGGGACTGAGACAAAGAAATATATAGGCGGTATAATAAGTATAAAAATACTGTATGTCTGTCCTTTATGTGCATGTAATGATCCTACAACAAAAGCTTCTATTAGACAAAGGGGCACAAGGTTGTAAACTAGTATCTGTTTACATAAAAAAGTAAAGATCTTTAGAGAGCCACCCCTAAAGCAACGGTTATATCAATACCATATTTGATGGGGTTGTGGTAACCCTGCAAGCAATTCTTGACTAGAAGTCACAATATATTCTAGATGATTACTTGCAAGTAGAAAACTACTTTTTACTCTTCTCTAGAACCGGGGATTGAACTCAGGCCCTTCATATTCTACTGAGCCATCTGCCTGGCCACAGAAAACCACTTCTGATGCACACACAGGCTGTGTAATAATGAACACCAAAGCCAAAATTGTTTTTTTTGGGGGGGCACTACTGAGGATTGTACACAGGGCCTTTGTGCATACCATGCAAGTGTTCTACTACTGACTTATACCCCCACAGGATAAAAGAGAGAACCAAAAAATCACTAATATTGCAACCTGTAATATAACTAATCCAGGCAAAGATTGCCTCTGCCAAAATATAACAGCCAAAATTATTCACTTGATTTTCACATCATCTCGTACCAATTTACCCATAATTATAAAGTAAAAATCTAATAGATATCATTCACTGTGAACAAATCTAACACCAACACTAAGACAGTGACACTTTGTGCCTCCTGATGCAATGTAAGAATATCATTTTCATATTTTCCCAAAAACAGTGAAAATGAATGTAACTATACAGAGGAATTATGTAAATGTGGAGTCAAGGATATTCTGTAAGACATCGGTCTTAAAAGACCTATGACAATGAAATGTTATTCTCACTGCATCATGGATTAACACTCTCCAAAGCATAATTAAAATAATTTAGGATTTATGAATATACATAACATAATTTGTTAATGGTAAATTTCTTGCATATAATAGTGGAATTCTAGGTATATAAAAAAAATATCTATTTTTTTTTTTTTTTTGGAAATGTCTATTCTTAAAAAAGATGTCCTGAAGGGGACCCATAGGCCAGAGATTTGGTCTCTTGGGGACAAAAACAAAAAAAACCCACCAAAACCAGATGATTGCAGTGATCCAAATAATTCAGTCAATGTATTTCAGAATAATCAGACTTTACCACTCAGGTTATCACACAGAAAAATGCCAACATATTAGAAGGAATGAGAAATCAGAAAGATGCGATTCAGAATCCCCAAAGTAATTAACTGCCTCCAGCAAAGATATCAACTGGTATTAAGATTATAAATTTAGTACATACTTGATAATGAACTACACATTTGCACAGTTCCAGATTCTAGCAAGAAAGAAGTACTGAAGTATAATTCTAATTCAGTGATCTTCACAGGAATATTGATAGCAGATTCAAAGACAGGTGTCACCATGATACAATATGAACTGTGTATAATGTAAGATATACAATATACATTCTAGATTGAAATGTTTATACTATCCCAATAAGCCTTCAGATCTAACTAGAATTTTACAGAAAATAACAGGGAATAAAGAAACAAGTCAAAATACATTGCCAGTAAGCAACTGGAACAAATTCTTAAGGTCAAACCTTTCATAGGACAAAAGGCCTGGTCATTCCAACAATGCAGAATCATAAACAACAGCAACAAAATCAAGAATAAAACAAGATCTGTGTTAGAAGACCCCCTCATACTATGCAAAACCATATACATAATATTTTAATAAAGAATACATCTTGGAATGCAAAGAAAAACATAGATATT